GGCGGGACGGCGGCGTCGGGGGGCGCCATGGCCTCGGCGGCGGCGGCGGCGGGCGAAGCGGAGGAGACCACCCGGCTGCGCAAGCCGCGCTTCTCGTTCGAAGAGAACCAGATCCTGATTCGTGAGGTGCGCGCCCACTACCCGCAGCTCTACGGCGCGCAGAGCCGTCGGGTGAGCGTGGCCGAGCGGCGGCGCGTGTGGGACGGCATCGCCGCCAAGATCAACGGCATCACCAGCTGGAAGCGCACGGGCCAGGAGGTGCAGAAGCGCTGGAACGACTTCAAGCGCCGCACCAAGGAGAAGCTGGCACGCGTGCCGCACTCCACGCAGGGCGCCGGGCCCGCCGCCGAAGACGCCTTCTCCGCGGAAGAAGAGACCATTTTTGCCATCCTGGGGCCCGGTGTGGCAGGGCCAGGGGCTGGTGCTGGGGCCGAGGAGCCCCCTGCGGCCGCCTCTTCGCAGCCGCCGGCCCCCAGCGCCTCCGCCCAACGCTGTGTGTTGTCCGAGGACCGCAGGGAGGATCGACGGGCAGGTGAGTTCCTTTACCATCGCTTGGCAAGAGCAAACACTCACAAAGTTAACTTTATGCCCCGTGCTGTTCCAAGCCCTTTTTGTCGCCCATCACACCCTCACTACAATCCTGTGAGGTAGGTGCTGTTACTATCTCCATTTTACAGCCTGAGAAACTGAAGCTCGGAAAAGTGAAATGACTTGCCTCAGGTCCCACGGCTAGTAACCGTCAGTCAGGAATGGAACCAGACCTAGGAGGCCTGGCTCGAGACCACACCTGGGATCATCCGCACACGCAGGATTTCATTAAATGCAGTTAGGGTAGGGGCCGGCCCGTGGCTCACTCGGGAGAGTGCGGTGCTGATAACACCAAGGCCCCGGGTTCGGATCCCATATAGGGATGGCGGGTTTGCTCACTGGCTGAGCGTGGTGCTGACAACACCAAGCCAAGGGTTGAGATCCCCTTACCGGTCATCTTTTAAAAAAAAAAAAAAAAAAAAAAAAAAAAAA